CGTCCCTGCTGTGCGTTTCCAACGACCATGTGAAACGAGTGCATAATTATTTTTTGTATAAATAAAAAGGTGCACAAACACCTCAATTGGTTTATAATAATAATTAATGGATACTAGTCGTGATTAATTTATAATATTACATCAATCGATAGTTATGTTCTTTATGTAATATTTTGAAAAATAACCGTTTTCAGTGCTTCGGCCACATCAGTCATGCTCACGTTAATCCCGCCATGACGGTTGGTGCTGTCGTCGTCGGCAAGAAATCCTTACAAGCAGGTTTGGTCTACTTGTTGGCACAAACAATTGGCGCAGTGCTTGGTTATGGTTTACTTAAGGTCAGTCATTTTTCCATATTCAGTATCACAAGGAAGTATGGTTATCAGCCTGGTTTGTTTGTACAAGTAGATAATATGCAGACTACAGAAAAAAAGATGTTACGGAATATTCCGGAAACACTATTGCTATCAATGCTTTCCTATCAGAATACGGTTCACGGTCCTCGGGACGTTTAACCTTAATAGCAAAACAAAAATTGGAATCAAAAGATACACAAAGTGAACGAACATTGCGCAATAGTTTCATAACGGTTTTTTACGGAAGCGAATGACCGGCACGGCAAATTTAAATGTTTAGTTTGAAGCGACGAAACTTTTATAATATCCAAATTAACATGCGCCACTCATTACAGGCTATGACACCTCACGATTTACTGCACAACGGAAATCCGAACGCCACAGACACATTTTGCGTGACCGATCTGCACGATAAGGTCTCGGCAGTTCAAGGTCTCTTCGCGGAAGGTCTGGCTACGGGGATTCTAACCTTTTTCGCTTGTTCCATCTGGGACTCTCGAAACGCCAAAAACACGGACTCCGTCGCACTGAAGTTCGGCTTCGCCGTTGCTGTACTCGCAAACACCATTGGTCCTTATACGGGGTGCAGCATGAACCCAGTTAGGTCATTCGGTCCCGCCATCTGGAATAACCAGTGGAACCATCACTGGATCTACTGGTTCGGCCCACTAGGTGGCGCTCTGTTGGCTTCGCTGCTGTACCGTGCAATATTTTCACCCAAGAAAATATCCGAGGAAGAAGCTGGCGCCGAGATGGTGGCGCTGAATGGCGTCGAGACCGAGAAGCTTGAGGTAATTAGCTGAACGTATCTAGATATTCTTGACTAATTTCCCTACCCGAAAATGGTCAAGTCGACTTTTTATTTTTAATACCTCATCAATCTACTCACGGTGCACGAAGTTGGTACTTGGATTTAAGTTTACATTTTTTTACAGCAAAACTGATCGTTCTCAAGTCCAATGGCACTATTCGATCCCGATCGACGTACATTCAACTTTTCCACGTGGGACAAGCTGAAGATCTTACCGATAATTTGGATCCTCGAAAAATCAAGAATATTCGAGCAACCCAGTACGAGAGAGAGAGAGAGAGACGGACAGTCGTGAATAAAGTGATAGGATCGATGGAGGATAAATATTTTTTTGAAATAAGAAAAAAAATAGTGCCAACCTACCGTGGTTAGCAGGGAAGTCGTGGGGGAGGGGGGAGGGGGGGGAATTAAAGAGCTTTAAAAACGCCGCGAAAGTCATTTCGCGATATCCGATCAAAGATCGTGATTAAAATTCGCAAATTGGACTGATTCACAAGCAGTTCTTTTAGTTGTACAAAAAACAAACATGATCTTACTAACTATACACATATATATACTTAATGACTTTTGAGGAATCTGATTTTTTAAGAAACCTGACAATCTCGCTAAACTAACGCGACTTTAACGCGACATTTTACACGATAAATCATCGCACCTCTCGACGTCGTCGTCGAAGAAACCGGAAGCCGAACATCCATCAGCATTTTCAGCTTCCGTTAACATATACTGTACCTTCGCGTTATAATGTAACCCGTCATGTAATATATACACTTGAAATTCCCGAGAGACGAAAAATTGTATATTTTTTATTTTTATCTTTTTTAACTGCATTAATAACGACAATACGATCTTTGATCTTTTGATCATAGCTCAACAGCTGTACTGTATCTACTTTGCATCTCTAAACGAATTTATTGTATACTTACATAAACTTGCACCCAGTCTTATCGATATAGTTATACATATGCGCGCTACATATAAATATATGTATACGAACAATAATATTTGTAGACGATGTATTTGAAGAGTAAAAAAAAATTCTTTCGATAGACCCCAAAGTATTTTTGTATTCCAATTGATTTTTTTTTCTTTGCTTATTCATACCCCAAGTCATATATTTACATTCGTTCGTTTCTTATGTAACGAAGAGACCAATGTAGATTACGTTTACGTCGACTGGCTTATATTTCATTAATATTTATACCATTTTTACCCTTAATGCATTTTCAACGTATCGAACCCATTGGTGGTTATACGATTTGTGATAAATATTATATCTACAGTACCTGTACAGACCATAATCAGACTATCCCGTTACGTTGGCAGCTCTTCTCCAAATACGCGCTACATTAGTCACAGTACTCTATATACCCTGTATCAGCAATCTCCACCTGTAATTTCCGATCCACTTATGACATTTCGTCCAACTGGATTCCCATTTGGAATTCTGTCGACAGCATTGTCACCGTCGTTATCACTGTCATTACTATCCAGCTGTCCCATAGGCTAACCTATCATAGAAATCACGATAGATTATCTGTCACAATGTTCAAACATTATTTTCTATGATGCGATAACGATTTTTTTCGTGAATAAAAAAAAATCCCTTCATCCATACGTATATACAGGGTGTGCTCGGAAGTTTAGTGACTGTACTGTGTAATTACATCTCTCTCTCACACACGCATGGATGGATAAGGACACAGTTGCTGGCAGTAAATTTCGGAACGTACCCTTAATGGACCCTTGTGACGTCATCAACTTTTGAAATCAATTCCACACTTTCGTAGTTTCTATGGTAATAGGGGGTGGGTCATAAATATCCCGTATAGGTGTAAGGAGTAAATATTGAAATTTTTCTATGGTTATTTTTAAATGTGACTGTGAGGGGTGATATAATATTG